ATTTTTTGGTGATTCATTGGCATAACATGTTAAATTAGTGGAAAATAACTTGTTAATATGTGTTAATCATGTATGTATAAATTATGGCTAGTTTGGTTGTTTTGGATGTAATTTGGGGTGTTTTGAAGGTTCCGCAATGGCAGAAACATGTTTTGCTTCTGTTAACAGGGTGAAGTGCGGTACCTGCATGACACCTTGGTCTTCATGTGTTTTGAGACACTAACAGGCATCAACTGTTTGACGGAAAGATCGTCATGGTCTCTAGGCTAGTGTGGGGCCTTGCGGTTCATCATAAGGGTGACGATTGAGGGATTTAATTGATGACGGGTGTCACCCTGGTGACGGGATACCCGTCATCATGTTAGTGGGTGAGTGTTAACCTACTGAGTTGGATTTTTGGTGTGGTTTTTTTAGACTAGCATTCATCATCACCGTGTCTGAAATCTTCACAATTGTAATATTGAACCTTCTTATTGTCAAAAAGACTATTTTTGTTTTGATTCTTTTTGTTTCTTCATTTTTTTCATGAGATGATTTAGGTTTTCTTCATACTTACCCTTGCCTTTACAATTTTTTGATTCCTTCTTCTTTTTCCATTTCATTTTTATTAGTTTCACCCTTCTTAAATCGAGCAAGAATGGTTTAATCTTGATATAACTCAATTCCACTGTTTCTTCAATTGTTACAACTATATGTTCAAATTTTGTTGTTAGTGTTCTTAACACCTTATCTATCGTCACCTCATCTGTCATAGCATTATTACAATTTTTAATTTGGTTTGTGAGTCACCAACCTTGTGACTTATTTACCATCCTTGTCATTATTCTTGATCTCCATGAACTCATATTGTCTCTTTAAGGTTTCAAGTTTCACTTTCTTATTTCATCTCCTCCATATTCCAATCATGATTGAAATTTATAGATTCTTCAGTTTTCTCAAACACCTTTACATTAAGTTATTGGTGAATATAAGGCCGTTTACAAACATTTTGGGGTCTTAGGCGAAAATGTTAATGGGACATTTTTTTATAAGAATTTTAAAGAGACTTAGTATATTATATAAAATATTAATTTTTATGTTAATCTTCTAGCTTTTTAGCTGCAAAATCATTTATCAGAGTTTTATAATCAAGCAATTCTAACACTCCACTTTCAATAGATAAAATAGCTAACTCATTCAATTTATCTTGTAACATTGATGATCTTATATATGATTTAAACAATTTTAATTTTGAAGGGAAGGAGAAGAATTATTTTTTTTTATGAACAGAAGATGAGTTGGAGAGTGACAGACGTTAGTTAGTGAATTGGGATGGGTTAATAGAGTTTTTTTTTTTTGAGATAAATAAAATACTTTAAATGACATTAATTATGATATTAACTAATTTTAGAAAAGATGATATTGATTGACTATTTTTAAGAAAGAGAAATTCTAAATTATTTTATTTTAACCAGTTAAAATTTGTTAATAATTAATATTAATAATTGTTTTGTTTAGGGCTCAAAAATATTATTATTATTATTATTATTATTATTATTATTATTATTATTATTATTATTTTAATCAAGAAATTTGGCATTAACTCAAAAAAATTATTACAAAACAAGGCGATCAAAGGATCCAGCCAACAAAACAACCAAATTACTTTAAGGTAAAATCAACCTAGCTATATGTGGTCTAAGCTTAGGACTAGTCCACCCTCTATATATTATGTTGTTTATAATTCTATCTAGGCACTTCCTGTTATCAGTTCTTTGATTAAAACAGGATTCATTTCTAAACAGCCAGATCTCATGAAGTGTTTCTGTAAGGGCAAGCCTAAATAGATCAGATTTCCAGCCTTTCCCACCATAATTTCTTAGAACCCATTTCATTTTCTCTTTCCATTTTTTTGGACTGTGTTGAATACCCATCCACTGTAGAATACCAATCCAGATTTGCTTCAATTCCAGACAACAACAAAAATAAGTGATCAATGGTTTCCTCTTTATTGCAAAAAACACACTTGTTATTATTGAGCATTCCAAATCTGAAAAGTCTTGACTTGGTAGCTAACTTATCATGGCAGATCATCCAAAGAGTAATAACTGCATGGGGTCTAGCTCTATTGTGAAGAATTAATTTGGCCCATGCAACATTAAGAGTAATAGGTAGAAGGCTTTGATACACTTTTCTCCCATGGAATCTACCTGTCTGCAGCATATCATTCCATGTACTTTGTATAGTCACTAGATTGTCCCTTTGTATTAGAATTGCTTTGAAAATTCCAGAGTCTTATCCCTTAACAATTCTAGTCAAAATACCTTCATGTCTCAAGTAATAAGCATGTATCCAGCGAACCCATAAATCATCAGATTTTGCATATATATTCCAGAGAAGTTTTATCATAAACATACTATTCCAAGTTTCCAAATTCATCACATTTAGTTCGCCTTTCACATGTGGTTTACAAACATTATCCCACGCTACTGGACTTTTCCTACTGATAATATTACCACTTGTCCAGAGAAAAGATCGACAGATTGTGTTGATCTTGTTGATCACAGTTTTTGGGAACCAAATACACTGCATCCAATAGGTTGCGATGGCATAGAGCACACTCTTGATGAGTTGCAGTCTACCGGCATAACTCAGCAATCTAGAACTCCAGTGAGTTATTCTGCTTAATAACCTGTCCAATAAAGGCATGTAATGGATAACAGCAAGACGCTTACTAGTCACCTGAATACCAAGGTATCTAAAGGGGAGAGACCCTTCTTTGTATGAGGTTAGCTGGAGGATGGCACATTTGACATTTTCGGAAACATTACCAAAATACACCCTACTCTTAGAAGGGTTTATTTTCAAACCTGTAGAATCCAGAAACTTGTTCAAAGTTAATTGTAGAATATCCATGGACACATGATCGCCTCTAGAGAACGGCAAGAGGTCATCAACAAAGGTTAAGTGGGTGATTTGCAGCCTTTCACATTTAACATGGTGGTTGAAGTCAGGATTCTTTTGCATTCTGAAAAGTAGTCTGCTGAGATATTCCATAATTATTACAAACAAGAGAGGGGACAAGGGGTCCCCTTGCCTAATACCTCTTCTTGCATTGACCTTATCAGTATACTTGCCATTTATATTAAATCTATAAGAGACTGTAGTCACAGTGGTCATAATCCAATCAACAAACTTCTTTGGTATTCCTACTTCACTAAGGATATTTTCAAGGGCACCCCAATCAACCATGTCATAAGCTTTTTGGAGATCTAATTGTACCATGCATCTAGGAGTACAAGTATTCCTATTATAACCTTTCAAAAGTTCCATAGCTAGTAAGATGTGAGAATGGATTTTCTGACCTGGAACAAAAGCAGCTTGCGCTTTGCTGATGATGGTTCCCAACACCTTCCCAAGTCTGGCTGTGAGGATCTTGGATATGATTTTATAGATTGTTGAGCATCCAGCAATTGGTCTGTAATCTTTCAAGGTTTTAGCATCCGGCTGTTTAGGAATAAGAGTAACAATTGTTTCATTGAAAGCTTTATAAATCACATTCTGCTCAAAGAATTATGTAACAGCTTCAATAACATCTTTATCAACAATGTCCCAGCTGGCTTTGAAAAATTTTCCTCCGTACCCATCGATACCTGGGCTCTTAAGGTCACCTATCCCTTTTAAGGCATTAGTGATTTCGGTAACAGACACCGGTGAAATTAGGTTAGCTCTTTGTTCCATGGATAGTTGAGGCCCCTCCCTCATGACATCAATATCAATCATATTCATTCTAGGTTCCCTTGTGCCCATCAGTTTGCCATAAAACTCACACACCTCTTTTTCTATGTCTTCCTGGTTGTGAATGCAGGTGCCATCATCCTTGTAGAGTTGGCTAATATTTGTGGTTGTAGGCCTGGATTTGAGGTAAGCATAGAAGAAAGATGAATTCGTATCGCCTTCTCTTAGCCAATTAATCTTTGTCCTCTGTCTCAGCATTTGGTCCTGAAGTTCTTGCAGATGGGTCAATTCAGCAGTATAAGTTTTAACTTTCTCAATGATTTCAGTATTCATTCTGTCCATTATAAGACTTTCCTGGGTTTGTAGTAAAACATTCCTTGCTTGAACAATGGTCTGCTGGAGGTTTGAAAACTGTTTGCTCAGTCTACTTAGGGGAGCTTGCAATCTCATCAATTTATACCACAGTCTAGCCATGGGTCTGCCAGTAATCTCTTTGTTCCAGTTCTGTTTGACAGTGTCATGATAATCTGGTATCTTCACCACACTATTTGTAAATCTGAATTTTGTGTGTACTGCTATGTTAATCTTCACAGCATGCAATCCTAAGAGGCAGTGATCAGAGATACTAGGAGGGAGAATCTCCAACTTCAAATCAATATTTTCCTGCAGCCAATCTATATTACCAAGGACATGGTCAATTTTTGAATAAATGGTACCGATAGAGTGTTTATTTGTCCATGTAAAATAGTCTCCTGTGTTATCCTTCTCAAACAGGCCAGCATAATCCATCAAGCTTCTGAGATCTTCGAACTCTCTTTCAGTCACCAGGTTCCCACCTATTATGTCCATAGATTTAGTTACATTGTTGAAATCGCCCATAAGGAACCAAGGGCCCTGTTGGCTGTCATGTATTTGTTTCAAGTCTTCCCATAATTTCCTTCTTTGCTCAAGCTGGTTTAATGCATAGATAGCTGTCATCCAGGTTTGGAATACTCCATTGACATCATGGATACCACAGTGTATCATCTGTGATGTGCATTTTATCACTCTGATATCACATTGTCTCTCATCCCAGTAGATCCAAATTCTGCCATTGTAATGTTCTTTGTAATTGTCAAGATATTGTCCTTTAAGGTTAAGCTGATCTCTGACTTTTCTCGCCTTGTCATGCTTAACTCTTGTCTTTAGTAAGATTGCAATCTTAGGGTGAAGGTTTAAGAGACGGGAGCTAATCTCCTTTAACTTCCCCAATTTATTCAGCCCCCTCACGTTCCAAGATGTAATCATTGGCCAGTATTTTGAGACTCTATAAGATCCTTCGAAATCTCAAGAGTCTCAAATCCATTATCACAAACAATCTTGTTCACACTGTTGGGGTTAACTAGTTGTTTACCTCTGTCCTTGCCACTTCTTATAACTTCTATCCATTTTTCCATAACTGCCTCCACCTGCTCAATTAGGTTACCTTCATTTTCTGGGGATGGTTCAGCAGCCTTTCTAACCATATCAGTGGAAATCTCAGCTAAGGTATTACCCTTAACAGTGTTAATCACATAAGGGGAACTAGCAATAATAATCTTATTACCTGCAGTATTGTTGTTTCCTACAGTCCTAGGAATCCTTTCAACAGTGGTGTCCATCACAGTTTTCACATTGCCTGTATGTTATGGTGCAGGTTTAGGTTTCCATTGTTGTGTCACTTTAGGTTTGTCACAGCTATGGCCAACCTTTTGACATTTACTACAGAACAAGGGTCTCCATTCATACTCAATAGCTTGTTGGATCTTTTCTCCTTCATTATCACCAATGGTAATTGTTTGTGGAAGTTCTTTTGTAATGTCCATTTCCACAAGTATTCGCGCATAGGATACTCGGAGTCTGTTTGCCGTACATTCATCTGTCATGATGGGGTTGCCAAGAACACTTCCTATCTTGTTTAAACTTGTATCACCCCACAGAATGATGGGTAGTTGAGGCAGTTTCACCCAAATAGGTAGGGTTCGCAGGAGTTCATCTTTGACCTTGAAACCTGGCCTCCATTCACGAATCAGCAGAGGGATATTTCTTATCATGTATGGTCCTCTCAGCAAAACTTCATCTCGATCCTTGAATGACTTGAATCGAAGGATAAAATAACCTTCACCATTGTAATACATATCCGGCAATTGAACAAAGTTACAATTCTTGGTCATGAAATTCTTAACCGCATTCATGCTTAGGTCTACTCCCATTGCGTACAAAATCAAGGAGGATTCCCAAAATTTGACTTCAGAGATAATATCATCTTCCTCGATTACAACTTCAGGTTTCCCATTCACGACTTGGGGTGCGATGAATTTCATAGCTCTACCCTTCGTCGGATTTCTATTATCCTTTAGCACATCTACCCATAGTTTGCGACCTTCCTCAAAGGCTCCTTCATGCATAGATTTTCCAGTCTCAGGTTTCTTAGGCACCGCATCTAGTAAAGCATCATTCGATTGAGTGGCGATTTCCATTTCTTCTTGATTAGGTTTACCAGGACGTTCATCCAGGGTTTCAATTTTCAGAATCTCTTCTTCAGTTATTCTACTGCTGCTTACTTGATGGCTTCTCAGTTCTGATTGTTGTTTTGGAGGTGACCTCAGTGGGGATGTTGTTGGCGGAGGCACCGTGTTCTTCGGCGGCCGCCCTCGCCCTCGCCCTCTTCTCATTTCTTTATTATTATTATTATTATTATTATTATTATTATTATTATTATTATTATTATTATTATTATTATTATTAAATAAATAAATAAAACGTGTAAGTTAAGAAATTTTTGATTTTGGGCTAGCTATTTTTTTCTTATAATAGTACATCTATGGAATGTCAAAGACAAATTATTGAATGCTGTATTTAAACAACCGACAAGGTTGCTTTTAATTTTCCCATAATTTTACACTAACCATTCGTAAGAGTAAGAGCTATAAGAAATACTAATTATAGTTTTAGCTGTGGCCTTTGAAATTCTAATTACAATGAAGTAGTAATTGGCAATTACCAAAAATGATTGCTCCCAAAATCAAATATCTCACCTCTTTAATTTCTTTCCAAAAAGAAAAACACAAGTTGCAGAAAATTAATTACTCGATTCTGTGGGCCACTCAGATGGCCCAACAAATTAAAATGCTAAGACAACTACATTTCAATTCGTGAATGGTAAAAATGTTTTAGAAAAACTAAGACAACTACCTTTCAATTCGTGCAAACTACCATTTTTCTTCTTTTTTTCTAATAAGAAAATCTACCATTCTTTGAAACTGGGTCAAAAGAACAAATATTTAATCGGGCTATAAATGAGTTATCCAACTCAGTGTCAAAAAATTTCTATTTCATAACTCAAATTAAGTTTTTTTCTGCACTAATAATTAACCTTGTTTTTAATTAGGTTAATGATTTCTTTAATGTTAGATTTGATTTGAATCTAAGTTTTCAAACTCTTTAAATTCTCTTATTTTTACTAAAAGACATTTATTCAAATGGATATAATACATCGAGTAATACAAATTTAAAATTATTATAAACATAAAAAAAAAGGATAAATTTACGAATAATCCCACAACACCCGTGTTAATAGTATATAACAGCAAATTGCAAATGCAACAAAATATACAAATATAACGAAATTGAAATGGTCAAAATATCCATGTCTTCGAGTCTGCAGCGTTGAAAACGTCAAAATCGTTGATTTAATATACACTGAGTCGAAATTAATCTGTCAATCTAAATTGAACAAACATCACACACTAAGATGAGAAAACAAAACGCCGCAATAAGACGGCGACCAACTCTTTAAAACCCTTATTGCTAATAAAATTTTATTTTTTTATTTTTTTTTTATTCTCAAAATTATTATTTTTGAGTTTATATATATAGAGTGAGGATCCACTTACTCCAACAGTAAATTTTTATAATTTACTCCACAATCATAGTCTTTAAATTAGATTTAATCGAATGATTATAGGTAAAAATCATAATTTAACCACTAGATTATATTCGATTTAAAGACTATGATGTGGAGTAAGTTGATCTTCACTTTTATATATATATATATATATATATATATATATATATATATATATATATATATATATATATATAGATATATATATATATATATATATATATATATATAGATATATACATATATAGATATATACATATATATATATATATATATATATATATATATATATATATATATATATATATATATATATATATATATATATATATATATATATATATATATATATATATATACACACACACACACACACACACTCTGAATTTAAACTAAAAGTTGGTAGAGATCGAAGGGAATGGAATTTCGATGTAGTGAAGTGAACTTCCGATACGATATAGTGGTGGTGGACGTGTAAGGTCAAATGTTCCAACGCCAAAGGAGAAAGTAGTATGAGTATGTGAATTAGAGAATACCTGAAATGGCGCACATTGGACTTTATATAGTGTGGGAGTTTAAAACTGTCCTTGTGGGATGCGATGTCTCTTTTAGGTTGTTGTCCAATTGGATCTAATAGTAGGAGATGTGCTAGTGGGTCAGAATCATTTGTCCTCGGCTGAGGTGAGGTCTCACCTATTTTGCGCATTTTTTTGTGCGATGTTTATTGTTGGACCTTCCATTATGGTTAGAGCAAAATTCCCTGAACAATTGTCTCTCAAACCCTTGCTCTTACTCGTAGAGTAGGGGCATTTTATACATGCCTTCAATCCGACTTCTAGTGGAAGCCCTTGATAGGACATTAATAACATTGAGTACATGTGCATTAAATATCCTCTCGTGATTAGCGAATGTTTTGTAAAGGAGTCTCAACGTGTGACCCAACATCTTGTAGTAATTATGTCTTTCTGTAGTAGGGTATTAAAGTATTTTGATCAGTCTTTGACAAGATTTGGATCGTCTGTGGTTTGCATTTCCTGACGTCTAACATTATGGATCGTACAGTCATTTTTGTTGGAGGATATATGACAGTTTTTTAGGCTACTATCTCCCTTTTTCGTCATTTGCGGCTCTTTAGAACTCTTCGCATGTGTGTGGTGTGTGTATGCGTGTGTGCGTGTGTGCGTGTGTGCGCGTGTGTGTGCGCGTGTATGCGTGTGTGTGTGTGTATGCATGCGTGCGCACGTGTGTGTGTGTGTGTGTGTGTGTGATATCTTTCATCTTCGTTGCCCACTTTGTGTGTGTGTGTGTGTGTGTGTGTGTGTGTGTATGTGTGTGTGTGTGTGTGTGTGTGTGTGTGTGATATCTTTCATCTCCGTTACCCACTTTAGGTTACCATCATTTGATACGTTTTCGCCCCTTCCTTTAGTGGAGTATACAACATGTGAGATAATGAGTTAGATAACATTTCAAAAACCTTTCTTTTCTTCTATATTGGTATGTGTTACTAGGGTTTCTTTAGAAAAATGTTATGGGAGATTTTGAAAGAGAAAATTGTCATCGATGGTAGGATGTAGAATGGTGATATCTATTATGAGAAAAAAAGGTTTGGGGCTTTGGTCATTCTTATCTTTTAACTTGGAAATATCCATCGCCGTAGATGACATTCAAAAGGGATGCAAAATTTAAATTTACATTAATCATGTGCTTCAACTTATGGTTGTTTCTTTTTATATATTGGCAACCCTCTTTAAAATGGACAATTTTTTACCATGAGCTTAAAATGCACCAGGAGACAACTCGGTCATGTGGGTGGATCAAGATACCATGGATATTATTTCCGTCTTTTTCTGTAAGGGTGCTCTGGGTCATGCCTTCACCGAGGTGGGTCCTTCTTCGGATTGATGAGTGTTTTCCTTGAATATTGATAAAATGATATGCAGTAAGTAGGATGGGTGTTTTATCCCCCCTTCACTAATTCATGTTTTCCTTTATTGGTGTTCGCCTCTCTTTTAATGACTTCGAGGTGAGAAATCTAAATCATCTAAAAATTGCTCATTCATAGTTGCATCTAATGAGTTAGGCTTACATCAAAGTCTTCTAGTACTGGTGTGAGTACAAGAGAAATGTTTCGATCTTGACACTCTTTTTTCATATCTTTAAATCCCAATGTTGTTCCGCCAAATCGGCCCAGGGTCTAGGTTTGATTTCCCTAAAGCAAAATAGCAAGATGTTCAAAGTGTATTTCGATATTGCGAATAACTTAAAAGACTGGTATTGTTTGATTACCCCTACCAAAGTGGATCATGCTAACATATGAAACATAGAATTTGATTCGTCTTTCCGATGTTCAGGTTGATTTTCCAAGTTTTGACGTTATATTTATTTTCTAGGGGACGTAGAATCTTATGTTTCTAATCTAGACGACTTATCCCAATAAAAGACCTACTTGAAGAGGAAATTGGTAGCCTTTTTAAGGATTTAGGTTTCGTTGATGGAGTTTCTCCTTTCGGGGGTGGCGTCAAAGAAATAAAAGAAGTGTTTTATAGAAACGTGTTTGTTAGTATAGGTCGCTACTAAAGAGGAAATGCATTTCATCTTTGGTGAGTGATGTAGAAAATTTTTTGCTTTCATTAATGCTTTTTTGGTGGCTATTTCGCCAACTTGCTTATTTTCTGGTTTGAAAATAAGATGAAATGCCACCAAATGATACTACAAATGAAAATGACTCTTGGGGTTATCCATTCACTTGTAAGAGCCATTAATATGTCGGTCATTATGGGAGTTCCAATTACAGAGTGCTTCATCGGTATGTCAATATTATACCTTCATATCCTGATTCAAATAGAAGTATGAGGTTCTTCTAGCCAACTCATGACAAGAGGTGTTCTACATTTTTCACAACATGAGGTTGGAGTAATTCCTTCCATGGATTCTACTTTTAAGATGCCTCTATATTGTAGACCAACGAAAAGAAGTCTTATATAGTTGGGTGAGACCAAGGAAGGCTCAATTCTGGTTCCATTTATACATCAACTTCAGTTACCCCATCTCCTACACTTTTGGTCCTCCTTGGACCTCGAATGGTAATGGAGTTCCATGCTTTTGTTTCTTAAGAAGATTATGCATACTTTTTGAGTAAGGTCGAGGTCGTTCTCCATGAGGAGCTAGCGAAAAAGACATATCAAGCGCGCAGGGTGTTTCCTATCTTAGCATTTGGTTTTGTTGAAAGATGAGATATCATTTTGCATTATCGTCTTCGAAAAGAGAAAGAAGTGCTCCAGAAGAATGTAAATGCGCTTACTATTAAGCGAGACCGGTATTTAGAAAAGTTAACACAGACAACTAGTTTGCTGAAAGGGTGTAATAACTCGTGCAAGAGATGAAGAAGAAGGATGAAGCTTTAACATCCGCACAAACAGCTCTATCCACTGCTGAGATTGTCCCAAACAATCTCATCGCACGAAAGAATGGAATCAAATTATAATGCGGAGTTTAACTGAAAAATAAATAAAATCTAACAAAATACTCCTTTAACTAAAATTTAAACTTCAACATTTTTTGTTTTAGTACAAATATAAATTAGAAGTCTCACATTATTTCAATAAAAATGAAGGTGGAGCAATATGTAAGGATATTGGTGATCATTTGACACCAAAGCTATATATAGAGGAACATCATGAAGATGTCAAATGAATGGTTATTATTAAACATCTTTTGATTAAATACTAGTATAGTTTACTAGGAGTAAGATAATTTTTATTGGTTTCCCAATCACATGTCCTTGTATCCATTTATAGCAAACCTTCAATCACATAGTAATAAATTTTACCACCTAAAAAGGCAAATATTCAACTTCCCCCCAATTATTTTCCTCTACATAAGGACTTGAATTCACTCATCTTCCATAGTGAAAGTCAAAGAGAGTAAAGCAATGGAACTTCACTTTCTATCGTTCTCTTTCTTCCTTTCATCTCTCTTTTGCTACTTACTTTTCCGACAATACTTCAACCGTCACAAAAACCTCCCTCCATCACCACCTTTCAAACTTCCAATCATTGGCCACATGCATCTCTTAGGTCCTCTCCTCCATCAAACCCTTCACAATTTCTCCCTCAAGTATGGTCCATTATTCTCTCTTAACTTCGGTTCTGTCCTCTGCATAGTCGCTTCCTCCCCTCACTTCGCCAAACAACTCCTTCAAAACAACGAACTCTCCTTCAACTATCGCATCCAAACCACCGCGATTAAACGTCTAACTTACGATTCCTCTCTAGCTTTTGCACCTTACGGCGATTACTGGAGGTTCATCAAAAAACTTAGTATGAATGAACTACTAGGCTCTCGTAGCATAAACAACTTCCAGCACTTGAGAGCGAAAGAAACACAAAACTTCATGACACTTTTGGCTAACAAAGCCAAAACATGCGAGACAGTGAACATAACCGAGGAGTTGTTGAAGTTGACGAACAATGTCATTTCTAAGATGATGTTAGGAGAAGTTGAGGAAGCTAGGGAGGTTGTCCGCGGAGTGACAGAGATTTTCGGAGAGTTTAATGTTTCAGATTTTATCTGGTTGTTTAAGAAAGTTGACTTCCAAGGATTCGGAAAAAGGATAGAGGATTTGTTTCTTAAATTTGATACATTGGTTGAAAGAATTATTTGCAAAAGAGAAGAAACGAGGAAGAAGAACAAAGGACAGAATTCCAACGGTCAAGCTAGAGATTTTCTTGATATCTTACTTGATTTTGTTGAGAATCAAACTTCCGACGTGAAAATTCAAAGGGTTCATATCAAGGCCTTGACTATGGTAAATCTAAACCCATTATTATTATTATTACATTGCATGCAGAGTCATCTCAAATTTTTGAGGCTCTCTATACGGTATTCTGCTGTGCATATTCTCAAAGACCTGTAGAATTTCTAATTACTTTTGAATGTCGTGATATTGCAGGATTTTTTCACAGCGGGGACGGACACAACAGCAATATCAACCGAATGGGCATTAGTTGAACTCATGAAAAATCCATCTTTACTTCAACAAGCTCGCGAGGAAATCGAGAGCATAGTAGGAAAAAATAGAGTTGTTGAAGAATCTGATGTTCCGAATCTTCCATATCTGCAAGCAATCATAAAAGAGACTTTTCGTCTTCATCCGCCGGTGGCCATGGTTACGAGATGCTGTGTAAGCGAGTGCAAAGTTGAAAACTATGTGATCCCGGAAAACTCATTACTCTTTGTTAACGTTTGGTCTATGGGAAGAAATCCAGAAATTTGGAAAAATCCATTGGAGTTTCGTCCAGAGAGATTCTTGAAAGATGGTGAAGGAGATTCGGTTGATGTTAGGGGACAGCATTTTCAGCTTCTACCGTTTGGATCAGGAAGAAGAATGTGTCCTGGTGTTTCATTAGCCATGCAAGAAATTCCAGCATTGCTTGGTTGTATTATTCAGTGTTTTGATTTTAAGGTTGTGGATAATAAAACTGGTGAGATTTTGAATGATGTTGGAGATATGGATGTTGATGAACGCCCAGGATTGACTGCTCCAAGGGCTCATGATCTTTTGTGTGTTCCTGTTGAAAGGATAAAGTGTGAGGCTGCTTGAAATTATTTACTGCATGTCACTCTGAATTTTAAAGAATTATGGCGACTCATTGTGATTTTGCAAAAGTTATATTCTATGACTTTTGTAAAAACATTTTGATTTGTTGTAATTTTGAGAAATTGTTGCTACTCTTAAGCATTTATGATATTTAGATTTGATTAGGCCTTTGAATAATTTGTGCATGTATTTTTTTTTTAATGTTTCTAGGTGACACGTGTCCCTTTGTAGTTTAAAAATAATGTTGACATGTTTTGTCAAATTGTTTAAGGGTGCTTTTGTATGTGTGTTTTTCTATTTAATAAAAGACTGATTTTGCAATACGATATACTTGTACTCGTCTGAATGTACAAAAGAAAGTTTGTGAGGATTACAAGAGGTTCTATTTGTGAGGATTTTGCAATATATTATTTATCATTTCAGAGTTATATCATAAATTATTTTTTTTCAAATTTATATATTTAGCTAGGGTTACAAATGTTGGTAACTTGTTTTGAAATCGGTCACAAAGTATTGATTTATTTACTAAGGCATCATCTATAATGACAGTTACAACCGTCGTAAATCAACTAACGATTTTTAAAACCATTGCACATAAGGGTCGCGACACCAAGTTTTATGGCAGTTGACAAACTATTGCAATGTCAATTTTGCGGCCATTCTAATTGTCACAAACTGCTCTCATAACTGCCGTAAAACCCTATTTTCTTGTAGTGCATTAACAATTGTTGACAAATTAAACTATAATTACCTTTTTAGAGTATCTTTAATGGGAGCAACTAAATTGGATGAACTAAGTTATTTTACGTGAGTCCAAATTGACATGAAAAGATTTAAACAATCCAAAATTGAATTAAGAAGTTTTTACTTCAATGGTGATTGTTTATAAGAAATTCAAACGTGGTATTAAATGGTTAATAAAAATCTATTATGTATGTTAAATAATTAATAAAAATCTATTATTTATGTTAAATAATAAGTTAGAGTATGTTGCTTGTGTAGAGCACGTAAACTAGTTTTAGAGCATCTCATATGCCATGTCAGCTCTACTATAATGCAAATTCCTTATTACTAACGTAAGCTATACAAAATTTTAGTTTAACAACTATGCGTTAAAGTTGTTCTTAATGAAAAGAAGAAAAATATGGTAACAATCCCGCAGGAAAAAATGTGTTGTTCTTGTTTTTGAAATTATCACAAGTATGACATTGTACATTGACACAACCAAATTTCTCATATTAGAAATACTTATCCACTTCTCGCTCCTCAGATCATCCAACCTAGTTATCTTTAATGTATTCTTTACTTCTTCAATATTATAATCGAACAATTTGAAAGAAACATTATAGTTATTGTAAACCTCCTTCTGTAAGTATTGAAGGATCAATGTCCAAGATTCTTCACTCCACCTAGAAAAAGTTTGAATCCATTAAAACCACAATAGCCATATTCTTCAACATCAAACATATATTTGATGCAGTCATAAAGAACTTAAGCAAACTGGGACATGTATGTCTATCTTGTAGTTCCATGGAATTTGTTTTTCGGATATCCATGCACTGGGTAACTAGGTTTATGAGATTGTCTATTTCCATATGTTTGAGAAGCCTCAATATAAGGGGTGGCAATTGAATTTTATTAAGATATAATTCATCCAAGTTATGTATTAAAAAATCCATCAAATTTATTTATCGCATAAAAAATAAGTTAATGGATTGAACTAAATTCATTCATTTATATGTATGGATTGATCAAATTCATCCAACATATTTTAATGATTTAATGGATTATATTTTTTTTAAATAATAAAAAATAGATTTTTCAAAAATAAAAAATTGACTTTTTTTTTTAAAAAAAAAAATCGATTTTTTGAAAAATAGAAAAACTCGATTTTTCTTGGAAAAAAATCGATTTGTCCCGAAAATACAAAAAATCAATTTTTTTTTAAAATTGTACAAAAAAATCAATTATTTTCAAAAATAAAAATCGATTTTTTTAAAAAATATAAAAATATCAATTTTTTATTTCAAAAATAAAAACAGAACTTTTGGATGGATGGACCCATCCACTAAAAACATGTTGATGGATAGATTGTATGGACTCTATCTTTAATGGATGAATTGGATTTGATATTTTTAAGAAACTTTTAATAAATTGGTAATGAACTAATTGATTGTTTTGATCTATCCATTAATAATTCAATCTATATTCATCAATCAAATTCATCCTTTTGTCACTCCTACTCAATATACTTCCAATAAGAAGGTATATGATTCAGATAAAACTTTTTCTCCTTTTTAATCTTTTTAACTCCTCCTTAAGTTTGCACTTTATCATTTGGACACATTGAAATTGTATAAGGAAATACAAATTCAAACACTTTTGTCTACAACACTTTCAGAACAACAATATCTAATGAGTTAAAAGTTTTCACCAATTTCTCTCATTTATCAGTCAAATTCAATGTTGTCATAATTTCTTCTTCAAAACGTTCATGCTAATCCAAATTTAATTTTTGCCAAAATCGATGAACTATTTCCAATGGAATAGTAGTAACTTCTATTTTAAGATTTGCAAGTTCATAACCATAAGGGAGACTGATTTTTCTTAATGTAGCATTCACATGATATCTTATCATCGCACATTCTTTTCACTCACGCAATCATTTTATGCCTCTTCTTGACACACAATTATGCAATCTTCCATAAAAGATAGCATTATGTTGATGTTTTATGTTGATGATGATTTTCTAAAATGATTATTTAATTATAATTTTTTTGAATTTCAACCCGTTGTTTATACCATTCCAGCTTTTACATATATCCTGTCTTTTATTATGCAAATGTTTTTAGTCTCCAATGAGTGAACTCTATTAGACATGTGACTTCACACACAAGAGGGTGTGAATTGTGTGTTTCAGAAAAAACTTAACTTTGAAAATATTTTGGAATTAAAATTAGAATTAGAAAACATTTTTAGTTTAAGCAATGGAAAATGTGAAGTGTAGAAATTAAAGAGTTTAAGGGAAGAGAGAATACACCAGAAGTTATAGAGGTTTGGTAAAAAAAAAAGAAAAAAAACTGCCTACTCCACTATCTAAGAATTGATCTTGAAAGTATCTGTTCTGGACTGGGCCGACGATTAGCCCACAATCGAGCAGGTCTCAAACCCCACTGAATTTGGGGCCAATAGGACCTCACGGACGGGCAGAAGATTCGTCGGGCACAGCATCTTCCCCCGTCGGACACAGGTCAACAGCCGTCGGGCAGGACCCCCGTAGTTGTCCGGCTAGCCTCCTTCTCCCCCACGGTCGGGCAGCGCCCAGCCTGCCCGGGGAGCTCCTCAAACCCCCCCTACGTTCTCTATGTGTCCCCTACGCGGAGACACGTCATCAAGTAACTACCTGTGTCCTGATGAGTCGGTCCTCCACCTCCCAAATAGCACGGAGCAGTTACACTAGGGTGAAGACCAGGGTAAAGACCACATGATGGACTTCACGACGCCACATTAGTCCTAGCAGTTACCTACATTGGGCCTGGAAGCCCAGGCCAACGCAGAGTAACCGTTGGCCCTGCGTTGGGGGCTCATTATAAATACCCTCTTTCACTAGAGGGTCAGGTAACTTAACTTTCTCACTCTTCTCTCTGTACTTGTTATCACTCTGCTCGTCGCTTACTTTGGTATCAGAGTGTGTTTCAGGTACACCCCCCCCCCTCTGTCCATCAAGCCAGCAAGTTCGACAGCTCAGACGCGTGGCAGCCCATCGATCTCTTTGATCAAGTACGATCAGTGGCGCCGTCTGTGGGAAACTAAGCTTCCCCGTTCCTCCGAGCAGAAGAACCAAAGCTTCACATTTTCAAATCTCGAAATCATGACTAGCCCACGTCACGACGATGCTGTCCACAACACTGCCCTCGTCCCAATCACTAACGGCGATGACCAGGCGGGGACCTCTCAGGCCCCTAAGGGCGACACCAGGGACGGCCAGACCGCCTCTCCCTCGTCCGAGGATGCGACACACTACGCTGCACCTCGAGCAGAGAGCCCAGCTGTCTTCCAGCCCGTCCCTACGCCGGCTAGAGCGGACCCGATGATGACTGCCCTATTCGTAGCCATCAACCAAACAAACCTGATGTTATTCCAACAGAATGAGCGCATCGGCGCACTGAAACAAGATACCTCATCCCGCTCTCCCCTGCGGAGAAACCAGCGCGGGAACTCTCGGAGCCCCTCCCCCGTCCACGGGGGCGCCGACCACAGCTAGAGAGGCCCTAGCCTGTGGCCCTAAAGAAATACGCCAGGTCACCCCCCGGAAGGAGAGGCATTCCCCGAAGCTAAGGTTGAACAAGCCTGAAGCCCCGGCCAGAAGACTGAGGGGACGTAACCAGCCTCCTCGACACGACCCGTCGCCTCCGCACTCCCATGTCCGCAGCGACGAAGACAACTATAGGACCCCCCATATCACGGGAAATCATGGCAACCCCCATCCCCCACGGGATAGAGAGGTCACCCGTGCTCTCCACGTACGACGGTACCTCGGATCCAGACGATCAACTAGAGGACATCGAGGCGATGCTCGACTACAGGAACATCCGAGGAGCCATCAAGTGCAGGCTTTTCCCGACAACGCTGAGGAAAGGGGCCATGGCCTGGTACAAAAGCCTGGAACCCGAGTCCGTCACGTCTTGGAGGGTCCTGAAGGATCTTTTTTCACAGCATTTCACGGCATCACGGCGGTATCCGAAGACGGAGGCCGCCCTGGGCGCAATCATCCAGGCCCCGGATGAACCTCTCAGAAACTACATTGAGAGGTTTACGAGGGAGGCGGTCCAGGTAACGACTTCAGACGATATGAAGCGCTACCTTATGGAGCAAGGCCTACACCGAGACTCCAAGTTCTACGAGGCCGTGGCCATCCATCGGCCAAACATCCTACAAAACTTCCTCTAGAGAGCCCGCCATTACATCCGGTACGAGGAGACAGAGGCCGCCAACGCTGCTCG